TGGATTGGAAGAATCAACATTGTGAAAATGACTATACTACCCAAAGCAATCTACAGATTCAATGCAATCCCTATCAAACTACCAATGGCATCTTTCACAGAATTAGAACAAAAATTTTTACAATTTATATGGAAACACAAAAGACCCTGAATAGCCAAAGGCAATCTTGAGAAAGAAAAATGGAACTGGAGGAATCAGGCTTCCAGATTTCAGACTATACTACAAAGCTACTATAATCAAAACAGTTTGGTACTGGCACAAAAACAGAAATATAGATCAATGGAACAGGATAGAAAACCCAGAGATAAACCCACGCACATGTGGTCACCTTATTTTTGATAAAGGAGGCAAGAATATACAGTGGAGAAAAGACAGCCTCTTCAATAAGTGGTGCTGGGAAAACTGGACAGCTACATGTAAAAGAATGAAATTAGAACACTCCCTAACACCATACACAAAAATAAACTCAAAATGGATTAAAGACCTAAATGTAAGGCCAGATACTATAAAACTCTTAGAGGAAAATATAGGCTGAACACTCTATGACATAAATCATAGCAAGATCCTTTTTGACCCACCTCCTAGAGAAATGAAAATAAAAACAAAAGTAAACAAATGGGACCTAGTGAAACTTAAAAGCTTTTTCACAGCAAAGGAAACCATAAACAAGATGAAAAGGCAACCCTCAGAATGGGAGAAAATATTTGCAAATGAAGCAACTGACAAAAGATTAATCTCCAAAATATACAAGCAGCTCATGCAGCTCAATATCAAAAAAACAAACAACCCAATCTAAAAATGGGCAGAAGACCTAAATACACATTTCTCCAAAGAAGATATACAGATTGCCAACAAACACATGAAAGGATACTCAACATCACTAATCATCAGAGAAATGCAAATCAAAACTACAATGAGGCATCACCTCACACCGCTCAGAATTGCCATCATGAAAAAATCTATGAACAATAAATGCTGGAGAGGGTGTGCGGAAAAGGGAACCCTCTTGCACTGTTGGTGGGAATGTAAATTGATACAGCCACTATGGGGAACAGTATGGAGGGTCCTTAAAAAACTAAAAATAGCACTAGCATATGACCCAGCAATCCCACTACTGGGCATATACCCTGAGAAAACCATAATTCAAAAAGAGTCATGTACCACAATGTTCATTGCAGCTCTACTTACAGTAGCCAGGACATGGAAGCAACCTAAGTGTCCATCGACAGATGAATGGATAAAGAAGATGTGGCACATATATACAATGGAATATTACTCAACCATAAAAAGAAATGAAATTGAGTTATTTGCAGTGAGGTGGATGGATGGATGGACCTAGAATCTGTCGTACAGAGTGAAGTAATTCAGAAAGAGAAAAACAAATACTGTATGTTAACACACATATATGGAATCTAAAAAAAAAAAAAAAAAGGTTCTTAAGAACCTAGGGACAGGACAGGAATAAAGATGCAGACGTAGAGAATGGACTTGAGGACAGGGGGAGTGGGAAAGGTAAGCTGGGATGAAGTGAGAGAGTGGCATGGACATATATACATTACCAAATGTAAAATAGCTAGCTAGTGGGAAGCAGCCACATAGCACAGGGAGATCAGCTCGGTGCTTTGTGACCACCTAGAGGGGTGGGATAGGGAGGGTGTGAGGGAGATGCAAGAGAGAGGAGATATGGGGACATATGTACATGTATAGCTGATTCACTTTGTTATACAGCAGAAACTAACACACCATTGTAAAGCAATTATACTCCAATAAAGATGTTTAAAATAATAATAATACCAACAATAAAGAAGGCATACTAAAGAAAAAATGATAAAATATTAATGAAGAACATAAAACGCCATCTGAGCAAATGGAATGGTGTAACATGTCCTTGGATTGGGTGACACAGTATAATAATATCCTCCCCAAATCAGTATTAAGTTTAATGCAATTCCAATTAGAATCTCAACAGGGTTTTTCATTTGTTTTCTGTTTTGGGGAATTGATAAAATGATCATAAACTTTATACGGAAAAGTAAATAGACCCTAAAAACCAATAAAACTGGAAGAAGAATACTAGTAAGGGGAACTTGTCTGATATCAAGCATACCTTAATGCTGCTATAGATTGATAGGGTGACAGTATGGAAATAGACAAATAGACCAGCAGAACAGAGAATCCAGGAATAGATCTACAAATGCAGTTGACTCTAATATATGACCAAGATGGTGTTTCAATTCAGTGGGAAAATGATAGAATATTTAATAAATGATGCTGATAGAATTGGCTATCACTATAGAAAAACTGAAGGTATAACTAGGTTACATAGGTAAAAAAATAAATCCAAAAAAAAAATCCAGAAGGATTAAAGACTTAGATGAAAAAGAACAAAATAAAATGATAACATTCTTAGAAGAAAACCTATAAATAACCTCTAATCCTTTAGAATAGGGGAAACTTTCTTCACCAAGAGAGGAAACCCAAAGGCATTGAAAAAGACATAGTAATTACATAAAATTTAAAATGTCTAAAATGATAAGTTATAATAAACAATTCAATAGAAAAATTATAAATATGAGAATAAAATGCAATGCAGATGACAAACATCTATACAAAGCTCTTTTATACATGGGTAAGAAAAAAGATGAACAGCCCAAGAGAGAATAACATGAGCTAGGGACATGATTAAGCAATTCAGAGAGGAATCCAATCCAGTGAACCTACGAACCAATGCTCAAACATACTTGTAGTAGGAAGGCAAATTAAATTTTGCCAGCAAACTGGCAAAAATCAAAAGGTGATACACGTTCAGGGTATTGTTGGCAGGTATTGAGGAGAAATGGTACTCTTCTACATTACTTGGGGGAGTGTAAACAGTAACAAACTTAGTAAACAATTTGGCAAAACTTATGAGAATTAAAATCCTTTTAAAATCTTTACATTTTGTATGATGTGAAATTTAAAACCTCTAAGTGAAAAAAAATTGAAAAAATAACCAATGAAAATATGCCACAATAACTATGACATCTTTCACTCTCACATTTCAATAAGAGTTCAGCTAGGTATAAAAGTCTAGACTCATTTCCTTTTTTCAAAAGTACTTTGGAAATATTACTCTAGTGTTGCTATTTAAAACGTCAGATGTGAATCTAATTCTCATTCCTTTATAGATGGCCTGCTTCTTTCTCTCTGGAATTGGTTCGTTCCTAAATTTCACTTTACTGTGTCAAAGTGTTGCTATTTTCCCTTTTCTCTCTCGTGTTGGTACCCATTCAATCTTTCTTTAATCGTGGCACAATGTCAGTTAGCAGTTCTTCAAATATTTAATTTCTCTTTTAGAACCCTTATTAATCAGATGTTGACAATTATTCTATTTTTCACACCCTTTAATTTTTTTTTCTCTTTGTTCCAATTCTTTGTCTCTTCTAATGCCTTCTGGGAACATTTCAAAACCCACTCCATCTCATTAATTCACTCATCCACTGTATTCACTCAACCCATGAATTAAGTTTTTTATTTCCATTATATCTCATTGGTTCTTTTTTATAACCTCTTGTCCCTGTTTAATGTTTCCAGTGCCCTCCTATATGCCCTTGAGAATATTTATTAGGATTGTTGTGAGTTCTGTTTCTCTGGCTCATTACTTCTGCTCCCGCTGGAATTAGCTGCTCTATTTGTGATCTCTCCTTTCCAGTGCTTTACATCAATGTTCCTCAAATGTCTCTTTTTCCTATTCCTTCAGGAGTATCAGCTACAGTTTTTATATTAAGTTCTGAGTTCTATCCATATCCCACTTGCTTTTGAGGCATCTCCAGAATTAGACTCAAAGGAGGAAAACCACAATTGCTGCAAGTTCCCCCATCTACACTCTCCTATGGCATAAATGAGATTTAACATACTCAAGAATTAGCCTGATCTTAGTTGTCTTTTCATTTTCAGAAGTATTAGACCATGTCACAGACTCACCAAACATTTTCCATGTGTTTATGGAAAGAGTTACAGTGTTCCAGGGGTATGGGAGAGATCGTAAGGACTCAGAATGGCAAGTAACTGAAAAATGTCATTTCCAAAATTTCTTGGAACTTAATACTGTGATTGTTATAGTGAATCTTATTTTCCTTCCTCCCCTTCATAGACCTGTATACATTTTTAATTTGAAAATTATTAAAATTGCGTTTTGAGGACTTAACTGAACTGACCCCTAAGATAACTGGAGAGGCCTCGGGTTTCACAAAGCCAGTTTGTATATAGCTGATCTAAAAATATAATAGAAATTGGTATGGCATGTTCGGTGGAATTATTTCAGTCTTGCCTCCCTGTTCTTGATATATCAGTATTTGTATCTTACCAGACATCTGTACAGAGGTCTAGCCTTTTCTTTGGATCTGACATTCATTTATTCAACAAATATTTGTTGAACACTTGCCATACTTGTTCTAGTTGTCAGGTGCCCAGCAGGAAAAACACAGCCCCTGACTTCTCAGAGCATTAGAATCTAACAAAGAATCCAGATTGAATGTAGGCTCTGTTAGAGCAAGGATTTCTTCCTATGTTGTCTTCCACTGTATCCCAGGCACCCAGATTAGTGTAAACATTGGTTGCATGTTAAATGAGTAAATTTTGACACTAATTACAAGCGTGTTGAGTGTTATGGTGGGAAAGTGCAAGTGTCATGGAGTGTATAAACAGGAGGCCTTTCCTGCTCTGGGGGGATCACGTAGAATTAGTCCTCCAACTGATAGAGCCCTCCCTTTAGAGTGGTTTATGCAGGCTTAAACAAGCAGCACCTAGTTTCTATTCAGGCTGCCCTCCCATTATGCATGGAGGCCTGAACTGTCTTGGATTTTTCAGTATTGATTTCTTTAAATGAGAAGTTAGAGGAACTGCTTAATAATACCGTGTGTTTACAGAAATAAACGAAAAATCAGTTTAACAATGCCGATTTGTGTTTCTTGCTTCTTGCCTGCCCACCCCTTCACCCCATTTTCTTTTCTAATTTGCAGATGAAGGAGCTTCCATGCACCCTTGTGATGATACGTACTGCGGACCTTTCCCAGAATCTGAGCCGGAAGTGAAAGCTGTAGCGAACTTCCTCCGAAAACACAAGAAGCACATAAGGGCTTACCTCTCTTTTCACGCATATGCTCAGATGTTGCTGTATCCCTATTCTTACAAATACGCAACAATCCCCAATTTTAGCTGTGTGGTAAGTACTTGAAGCTGGATATGTGTGTCAGGCTTCATCCTTTTCTAATGCTAAGATGGTTCTATGTGGTAATGATAATAGCAAACACATTGTGTTTGTTCTAATTAGCATTTCATATATACATAATCTCACTTATTTTTCATAATCTATTCAGTAACAACTATTATCCACATTTTACAGATGAGGAAACTGAAACTTAAAGATGTTAAGTCATTATACTAAGAACACAGAGCTCCTAAGTGTCATAGCCAGGAGTCACCCCACATCTAGCTCCAGCATTGTTGCTTTTAACCACTGTGCACGCTGCTTCTCCAATGCAATCATTTCAAACATATTTACATTCTTACCACAGGTTATTTGGAAAATGTCAGGATGGAGGTGATTAGATTACAGCTTCGGTCACATATGCAGGGCTGTAATTAACTTTATTGAGTAAACAACTGTGCATAAATTATGGTCTGACTCATTAATTAAAAGCAAGTTTTAATTTATAAACGCTATTTGCTTAATGCTACTAAGTCTCTGGGCCTGCATCTGACAAATTAGTGCTAAGAATGAACAGCCTTTCAGGCATGAGATTACCTGAAAGTGAAAGAGCAGAGTTCCTTCCTCACCTCATCTCAGAAACCCAACAAGCTATCCACGATAGGGACTAATTCCCCAGTAAAGTGAGTCTGCTTCAGAGCCTATATCATCTGAAGGCCTATGAAGTTCAAGACCAGGCCAAACTAATACATAGTGTTAGAAGCAAGGAAGAGGGAGGGAGGAGTGATTGGGACGGCGCACAGGCGGGCTTTGGGGCTGCTGTTGATTTTCTATTCCTTGGCTGGATGCTGGTTCTGGATGACTGCATGCAACTTGTGATCATTCGTTGAACTATAAACTTAAAATCTGTATACTCTTCTGTATGTATTTTAGGCTTGAATTTAAAAGCTTTTATAAAAAAGAAGCATCCTCTCTCTCCCTATACCTCAGACTCCAAATCCTGCACCAGTTGCTTGGGGTTGCAGGAATTCCTGATCTCGATGGCCAGGACCTGGGAAGAATTTGGAACGGAGGTCGGAAGGTGGCCTGGGGGAAGGCTTGCGTTCTGTCCAAAAGAGGAACTTTGTTCTTAGCATTTCATGCAAGAATTCTGAGCAAATTCTCTCTCTTGAGAAATACTGTAAAGGTGGGAGCGATATTTGATAGTGCTATTCTTCAGCTCCTCGGTGGGTCAAATAGGCTTCTCATTCTTGGTGTTATTGATCTGGCAACCTAACCACCTTGTACCAAAATGTTTCTATACGCGAATGCTCGGCCTTTTCTAAATTGGACACAGCGTCTGTTTGTATCCTCACAACAGATTATATAGAATATGTAATATATTAAAACTACCACATGAGGGCTTCCCTGGTGGCGCAGTGGTTGAGAGTCCGCCTGCCGATGCAGGGGAAATGGGTTCGTGCCCCAGTCCGGGTAGATCCCACATGCCGCTGAGCGGCTGGGCCCGTGAGCCATGGCCGCTGAGCCTGCGCATCCGGAGCCTGTGCTCCACAACGGGAGAGGCCACAGCGGTGGGAGGCCCGCATACCGCAAAAAACAAAACAAAACAAAACAAAAAACTACCACATGAGAATATTCTCCATATTTTGAATTTATCTTCCCATCAGGAGTTATTTTCCTTGTGTCTTGGATTGGAGGATGTGGTATAAAGAGTGGATCAGTGGTTCACAACCAATGATGAATTTCCCTCCCAAGGGACACTGACAGTGTTGGAGACATTTTTTGATGGCCACAACAGGGGTGGGGGATGTTATTGGCATCTAGTGGGTAGAGGCCAAGGATGCTGTGAAACATCCTACATTGCACAGGACAGCCTTCCACAGCAAAGGATGATTTAGTCCAAACTGTCAGTGGTGACCCCATTGAGAAATCCTGTTAGCGGGTTGCAGATAAGCTAAATTGCTAAAACTAAGATTACAGTTCTCAGATAATAGATGTCTCTGAATGTTAACCAGTAGCCATTAAGTTCTGTTCAACTTGTTCAAAAACATTCCATCAATATGTAGGAGTCTGTGTTTCTGCTAAGATATTTCAGTCACTAAGTTGCTTTAAATATAAAAATATTTAAATAAAACATATACTCCTTACTTAGCTGAGGTCCAATAAGGGAGACCTGGGTCCTTCTGGATGAATGGAAAAAAGAAGGAATGGACAAAAGGAAGAATCACTTAAACTCTTTTAAATAGGTACCATCCTGGAAAATATTCTTAGAAAATTTTATGAAGCTTCTACTCTTCGAGGAAGGATCATGTCTCAACCTCTTATCAACGTGCACCTGCACGTCAGTGGCAGAAGTCCAGTGAGCCCAAAAGGCTAAAACTATGCATACATTTTGCGAAAATAGGCAGAGTGGTTATCTTTCTTTTTCCTCGGTAGATTATTTTTCTTGGGTTTAGTCATCTGAAATAATGAGGAACAAAGGTCTCCTCACCAGCAGAATGCAGTAATCTTCTAAATGTAGAAATTTCTGCCCTTGCCATGGAATATCACTGAGGCCATTGGAGAAGATGTTAAAAATCTTAGCACATTCTCCATTAAGAGACCTCATTATGGTGTTTACATTCCTTTCTTGTCGGCTCCTGCAAGGAGAATGTCGTCATCAGTGAGATCAATTAATGAATGTCTGCCAGGTTCTGGAGCCTGGTTCCTGAATAGCCACTCAGTGTGGCATTTGCTGCCAATGCAGCTTTCTGCTTCCCTGAGGTGAGTGAGGACAGCAGGCTGAAGCCAGGTCCAGCACACAGTACCACGTTGCCCGGAGTGCTTCAACTGATGGATTAAATTATTCACAGGCACCTGGAAATGGGAGAGTTGTATACTGGTTTCAACACACTTCTTTTCCTCTCACTGGTCATACGATACTTCTCTAACTCCTTGCTGGAACTAGTGCTTTTATACCATTTGGAAATGTTTTCAAGGGTAGTCCGTATCATTCTCGTTCATCTTAGAATATTCACCGTTTAGTATTTTGAAGGTGTTTATTTTTCCTGCTTTTTGGCATTGCTAGGAAGTTCCACCTCAGAATTTCTACATCTTAGCCGCACCTGGCTGAGCTCTGCCACAAGCCTGTGTAACCTTAGAAGTCACGAAGCAGTCTCAAAGTGTTTCCATTCCCACAAGGGATAAACACACAGAGCAAGAGGAGTCGTTCTTACTGAATTAAAGCGTTTCTGAACTGATCCAAATGGGTTTTAAATACCTTGAACCGGGCCGCCACTTAAAGATGTATGCACTCAAAGATCAATGAGATTAATGGGATACTGTTGCAGATCTCTGCTTATTCAACATTCATGCAAGAAACAGTGATTAAGTGTCTGTTATATACAGGCACGTTGCTAAATACTATATGTGTAGCTATGAGCAAAACTGACTTGGGCCCTGCCAAGCATTTTGTAATTTATAGAAATGGGTGTCTCTGAACTAAAGTGAAGAGAACAGAACACTAAATCAGCCTCAGAAGATGTATTTATCCCAACATAGCCACTCCTTGCTGTGTAACCCCAGCCTGACCACTGAACCTCGCTGGGCCTTCCTTTTCTCATCTGTATATGGAAATATTACTGATCACTGGCTCATTGTGAGAATTAATCAAGGGAAATAATGTGTTCTAAAACATATTGCAAAATGCAGCATGTGACAAAGAGTAGCATTATTAAATATAGCTATCCACCAATGTGCCCAGTGTTCTCCAAATTGATGACCGATAATGCTCAACGTGTCAGTGTTTCTAAAGGTTTCAATGCAATGATATAAGTGATAAGATTTCTCCATTTAACCTCACAGGAATCTGCAGCTCATAAAGCTGTGAAGGCACTTCAGTCGGTGTACGGCATACAGTATCGATACGGGCCTGCTTCCAGCACACTGTGTAAGTTTCCTATGGATGCTGTGTCAGAATCACCTCTCGAACCAATAACCTGTGTAATGACCTCCCTCAAAAAAACCCAGAAAATGTGTTCCCCCCTAAAGTGAAATTTTTGACTACCAAATTAGCCAAGGAAGATGGAGGGAGTTTATGTCTGATTAGTTTTACCCTGCTTGACAGAAATCACTGTACCAATTGAAAAAATCCTAAGCAGAGAATATTCTAAGCATGTAGTAAAGACTACAAGGTTGAATGGAGATCTTATGACAGTGCAAAGTACCAAAACGGGCTCCTTAAGCAGTTGTAACTGCTGCAAAGGTAGAAATGGGCCTTGAGAAGATAATGTAATGTTTGAGCCCTTGAAGGAGCTTCCTTTTTATCCCTTCCTTCTACCATTCTTGTTATGAAATTCTGTTTCTTACATAACACCTTCAACTGAATTTCCCCTTGAAAGGTAATTAAAATATTTCTTATTTCATATGAAATAAAGAGCAACCAGGTATATGGAAAGAACTTGGACAAAGAACCAGGAGAAATGGATCCTAGTCTTAATTCTGCCACTAGTTAGATGTAATCCTGACAAAGATATTAGTCCTGGGCTTCAGTTTCCATAACTGTTAAATGAGGAATTGGACTAGATCATTTCTCATGGCCTTTCAAACTCTAAAATTCATTGACTATATGACTTGAAAAATCTAGTGAGAAATCATATATTTCCGAATGTCTAGCGGCGTTCCGGGAGCTTGCCGTGATCGTATGGTGGTTAGCACTCTGTGAATCTCTACGCATGCATATGAAGGTATATACACACATTACATATGTATGTATACATAGTGACATCTGATTATACTTTTTAGTGAGGTAGCAAACTTCTCCTTGATTTCTGTAATTTACCCATCATTATATTCCTAACCACTCACTTTCTTCAGCCTTCAGCAGAAATGCTTGGTTTGTTAATTAACACTGTTTATCATATAAGCTTATCCTAGTAATGGTAATGTCTTAAGTATCAGAGGTCTTTTCTTAAGTTCATGATCATTGGTCTAATGCTGACCTTTTTACAACTGTTTTTTAATAGAGCCACCTTGAAAGGGGAAATGTCGTATTTTTAAAAATCACATTACCAGTTAATGCCAACAGAATATAGATTAAAAACCTAAAAACATTAAGTTTTTAAAATTTTACTCTCAGTCCACCTTTTCAGCTTGGTATCAAGGCACAGTCATAGTATTATATTTACCAAGAACAACCCGTTACCATAGAAATGAGGCTGTCATATCACTATGATGTAAGTGTTGGCAAATATTGTCTTTGACTTTGGCTACTATGACTACTATTTGCAGTTCCAGTGAATCTAACTCAGAGCGACAATGAAACCACAGCCTACCTTCTGTCTCCAAGTGAAGCAAAAGGGGGGCCTGGGAAACAGCAGTCATTTAATTGCCATCGTCACATAATTCTATCTCTAACTGGCAAGAATAGCATTAAAAAGTGGTATCTTTGAGTGGGAAATTTTTTAAATAATAAAATGGTGTTATGTCAGGCTGGATAATATATATTTCAGGGAGAAAAGTATAGAAAGAGTCTTCTATGAAAATCCATTCATTTATTAATTAATTATTAAAAGCATGTTAGGCTAAAAACTGCATACTAGGCACTTTGGGGTGAAAAGATGCCCAACAATAACATCTAATATATCCTGAGCACATTATTCAATTTTTGCAACAACCCTATGCAGTAAGTATTATGATCCCTTTTTCAAAGGGGAGACTGAGGCACAGAGAGTCACGGCAGGTGCTGGGATCAGATATAGCCCAAGCCCTAAAGCACCTGCACTTTCAACTCTGTGCTGAAAAGCTGGAGCATGTAAGGTCATAGGAGCCAGAAGGCGAGAGTTACCAGAATGGATTGTCAGCTAAGTTAAATGCTGCTGAGAGGTTGACCATGAGGTCTGAGGGGAAAGAAAAACAAAAAAAGGAGATTAGGCCTGCTGTCATTGGTGACCGTCAAGAACAAAGGTTTCACAGCCTGGTAGAGGCAAGAACCAGACTGAAAGTGGTTGAGGATACAGAAGCAACATACATAGGTTCTCTTTTGAGTTCTAAACCAAAAGGAAGAAGAAAAAGAAGATGGTATATAATAGGATCATGAGAAGGAAGTGCTACAGGAAAGCAGTGCTTGGACATTTCGGTGTCCAAAATGCAAGATGCAAGGTGGGGTTGGGGGGAGGTTTACTAAGGAAACAGGGTCCTAGAGAAGACAACAAAAAATGGGATCAAACCACACCAAGTATAAAAGACGAGCAGCATTTCTTCCTGAGCTCGAAGGAGAAAAGTCAGGATTGCAATGTAAGCAGAGGAGGTGATGGGCTAACTACCCACGATGAGTATGGAGAGATTGGTAAAGTGAGGGGCAGGACCAGAAGAGAATGAGAAAGGTTCACGTAAGCGAAGGTCTAGAAAAAGGAGCCCAGAGCACCACTGGTAATGGAGAAGCACCACAGAGATTAGCACGAATTTCCAACAAACACTTTCTCCACCTACCTTGTGAGGGAGAAGACAGAGAAACTGGACTAGGGATTGAGAATTAGCAAAACAAAAGCTGAAAAGGACTAGACAAAGGGTCTGGTGAGAAATTCAGTGGAGTAATTAACCATGCCCAGCTAGAGAGTTCAATGAAATTATAAGAAGCCCAGGGGAAGTCTGGAAACTGTAATAAGTAAAGGCAAAGAACAAGTTCATCAGGAGTGAAAAAATAGGGCGAGAAGAAGAAAAGAGGTTTTCTGGGATCAGAATTTCAATATTCTAGACCTTAGAAAAGGAGAAGAACTGAGTGAGAAGAAAAAAAGTCCACAGTGTGATTATGTTTATTGGTGAATAAAGTGAAGGTGGAGAGAAATGATATTGGAGTTGCAGCTAAGAAATTGAGGTCGTCATACTAGAAAAGCATTACTACTTAGACTAGCTCCTCAAACAACAAAGTTTCCATAACTGGCAGAGGCAAGAACCAGACTGAAGGTGGCTGGGATGATTTATGATGATAGCAGGTATGATTTGTAAGTTCCATGAGCTTGAAGCTCAGGAACTCAGCTTAAACTGCTCTTGTTGAAAGGGTATTTCATTGGAAGGATTTAGTATGGCTTAGTAAGCAAGTACTAGATATACATTTTGAAAATTATTCAGACTCTTTAGTGAAGCTGACTTTTTTTTTTTTTTTAACTTTTAGATGTGAGCTCTGGTAGCTCAGTGGATTGGGCCTACAAAAATGGAATACCCTACACATTTGCTTTTGAACTACGTGACACTGGGCATTTTGGCTTTTTACTCCCAGAGATGCTCATCAAACCCACCTGTACAGAAACCATGCTGGCTGTGAAGAATATCACAATGCACCTACTAAGGAAGTGTCCCTGAGATGCCCCAAGAGGCAAGTCAACCTCCAGAGAGAGCTGGTTCTGCACAAGAGCTGCTTGGCAGTGGGTGCAAATTGTTTTTAAAGAGAAGGGCGATTACTGAGAGGGAACTTATCTGGGGACTTGAAAAGGACCTTCTCATGCAATTCAACTCTCTGTGGCAATAAAAACATGGTGGAAAAAAAATTAGAGTATAACCTAGTTTGTTGTAAGAGAAGGCATCCATTTTCTGCCCCTTTAGAGTCTTATTTGATTAAGCAGGGAGGGGAGATTTTCTAGTTCTTTGGCCTCAAGAAATGTACAAATTGAGGATTCCACTTCAATAAATCTCATGTTCTCAATTAAGATCTAGACTACTGGGGCTTCCTTGGTGGTGCAATGGTTAAGAATCCGCCTGCCAATGCAGGGGACACGGGTTTGAGCCCTGGTCAGGGAAGATCCCACATGCCGCAGAGCAGCTAAGCCCGTGCGCCACAACTACTGAGCCTGCGCTCTAGAGCCCGCGAAGCCACCACAATGAGAAGCCCGCGCACCGCAACAAAGAGTAGCCCCCTCTGCCACACCTAGCAGCAACAAAGACCCAACACAGCCAAAAATAAATAAAATAAAAATATTTTTTAATTTTATAAAAAGATCTAGGCTACTAATGGTGTTTACTCGCTTGGTTTCCATATAAAATGAAGATTTTTGGAATGGAAAGAACTATATTTCTTAATATAATAAATATACAACTTAATAAGACCTCAGATTATTCACATCATCCCCTGGCATTAGTGCACCAAACACCTATAAAAATGTAGCATGGAAGAGCACTTCTATTTATACTTTGAGAACGCCACTTAAAAAAAAAAAAGAGGAAGAGCCACACAGTGTTAAGAGCTTTATACTTATTAACAATCTCACCAATTCCTCAAATACTATGAGGTGGATACTATTATCATCCCCGTTTTTCAGATGAAGAAACTGAGGTTGAAAAAGGTGATATAGACTCCCATTTCCAGGAATATGACAGGATGAGTAACTGGACTGCTAGAAATAACTAAAATTTCAGGACAAAACATAACTTTTTAAAGTCATCTTTAAAACATCGGACAACGAAGTAAGGAAATCCCAGGCCAGGCACTGAGTGAAGGCAGGGTCCTAGAAAGGTAAGAGATACTCTGTTATCCCAAGAGCATCTGTCACATCAGCTAAGTGCAGACTGATTTTCACAGCATTTTGGAGAATAGGCATGGGAACGAAGCCCAACACTAAGTAGTCCAAGGTGGGAAGTCTAACAGAAGGTTCTCCTCCTCCCAGAATTCTGGGATTCCAAAGTGCTAATCCTTCAGCGTCAGGGCAAACTGCAAATAAACCCCCATATTACCTCCAAAGGACCACAAGGAAAACTGACCATTTCAGATTTTGGCAAGAGTAGAGAGGGGAGAAATTGCCACTGAGAATTTGGAACCACAAGTCAGCCCTCACCCAGGTTTGTGGCACAAATTCAGATTACCTAGATGGTCTGATAAACCTCTAGCCAAGAATTTAATTCTGATTAATCCCAGGTTGGTTATACCGTCTAAGTATTTGGTAGAAGCAAATCCTCTCAGAGGATTTATCTGACCAAAACACTTCATGAACACCAGGATAAAGAGATGAGCCTAAAAAGTTCCAGAAAGAAAAAGAAACGATCACAAGGAAATGAGGACCAGAGTAGCGTGAAACTTCTCAACAGCACCACTGAAGCTTGAAGATGATGGAGAAATGCCTTTAGAGGTCTGAGGAAAAATTCTGTCCTAAAAATCAATACCCAGCAAAACAATCAATGAAATGTTAGGATAGAATATAGACATTTTCATAAAACTGAGGTCCTAGATATTTACCTTTCTCTGGAAACTCCTGAAGGATATGCTCTACCAAAATGAGGGCGTAAACTAAGAGAAAGCTGTAGAACCCCAGGAAACAGGAAATTCAACATAGAAGAAAGGAATGAAAAAAATCTCAAGATAAAGAATCTGAAAAAGAATAGATATATAACTAAATCACTTTGCTCTACACTTGAAACACAACACTAAATTAACGATACCTCAGTTTAAAAATAAATAAAATTATAATTTATCTCTCCATTAAAAAAAAACTCAAGATAATGGTGAAGGAAAAAGTCCCACTAACAGCATATGCCAGGTTTAGAGAACAACTAACTTGAAATAGGAGGAAGAAAACTAAAGACTTTAGATGAAGTTCTCCGAAATAAATATGAAACACTTAAACACACTCAAGGCAATTTACCTATATCAAAAATTTAAGGATGAGTTAGTAATAAAAGCATAGAAACCAAACAAACCAAAAAGAATAAAAATTTAAAAAGGCAATTGTTAAGTCTGGTGAAAACAATGAGTTATACAAGAGAAGAAATATAGCCTACTATGTGACTTACCTATAAATAATATGTATATAGTTAAAATGTCAGCCCTAAATACTGATTTAACCAAAAACTGTGATGTACATATGAGAAGGATAGAAAGAAGTAAATGTATGTGAGAGGAGGGGGGTATAGAGTTATATCCTCATCTGCCATAATAAGTCAATAAACATCTAAAACCAAAAAAAAAAAAAAAAAGCAGTATCTGTATGTTATTTCAAAATAAGAAAGTAAGTACTAGAAGACCTAATTTTAATGATTAAGAATTACTGGCTAATGAGAGGGACCCGGGAGTGAGGAAGGATGGAGCAGGGGACTGCTGCTTTTAATATAAGCGGAGTCATATTATTTGACTGTTTTTTAATTATGAAAAATATCATGGAGTATATTCCTTTTAAAAAACTCCCAACTACTCGCCACCACCACCCAATCTTTTTGATGTTTATAAAATGTACATTGTTTCAATTAAAAAATCAAAATTAAATTTAAAAGATTAAATAAGATTATCTGTGGAATGCATAGCATAGAACCTATAGTAGACAACCAGGAAATATTAGTTTTGTCTGTGTTTTACAAATCTAATTTATCTTATAGTCCCAGTTATGTATTTGCAGGAATGGATCTCATGGAAGTTTGAGGCTTAGTCCTGCTAAGGGATACTACACCTGGGAATTTAAACTTCAATTCATCCCATCAGGCAGTAAATGCTCAAAAATGATCTGGCTTTGGGGGTTGTTTTATACTACTTATTTCTACCCACAGAACAGGCGAAGGCCAAAGTGTCCAGAAACAACCAGGAGGGCCAGAGACTTATGAAGACCACCAAGAATGGGAAGAGGCTGCTTCTCAAAGGACCTGGCAAAGATGCACACAATCAGCTAGAGTCATCTGGCGGCCTTCATGGACCCCTGAGGAAACTTTTCCCTTGACTGGGAGTGTGCTGTGTGGCCCCTGCTCTGTTAGCTGTCTGTGTCCAGATCCTTTGCTCCTGTCTATTGATGCCTTTCCAAACTTCATCACTCCTGTAGCAATCAAACAGAGTCAGCTCTTGAATATTCAGGGAGAAAAAAAGAATTTACAGATAATCCCCAAAATTCATTTTTCATTGTATTTTAAATTTCTACCTATTCTATACCCTCTGCAATAAGATCTGTTAGCAAGTTAATATCAAGAACGTAAATTTTATTATTTATCCCTGCCCTTCACATAGCATAGGTGCTAAAGGTAATTTTTCAAGTGAAAACAAGGGCAACAGAAAATATAGACTCTGAATGATCCACAAACTAGATGGGTATATATTTTATTATCCACAGAGATTCAAGATGAAATTTTGCCTTGATGAACCTCATGTAAATTCTTTTCAGTGCTTATTCTCACATTTCAGTAACACTATATTTTACAGCTCGAGTTCTATAAGTGGGTATTTTAATATTTATAGGCTATTTTCATTCTTAATCTCTTTAAGCTACAAAACATACTGTTGGGTGATTTATGTTCAAGGCACTCTACTAGGTGCTGTGTATGAGGAGGTGCTGGAGACAAAATGTGTTAGATTTATGTCTATACTTGCTTAGGAATGTAAAAGTTAACTTCAAACTAAAAACGGCACCTGCATTTTTAAAAATAGTTTGACGAGATACATCCCTCATCCCTCACTTTTATTAACAGTAATTTTGTAAATTCTGGCTCTGCTGAGTTGTAGCTCTCAGCTTGGCTTTAGTGAGTGTTTTCATTTCCAAGTTCTGCCGAAACAGAGCATCACAAATTGGGTGGCTTAAAATGACAGAAATCTGTTGTCTCACAGTTCTAAGAGGATAGCAGTCCCAAATCAAGGTGTCAGCAGGGCCATGCTCCCTCTGAAACCTGAAGGAGAATCCTTCCTTGCCTCTTCTTAGTTTCTGGTTGGTTGCCAGAAATCATCAGTGTTCCTTGGTTTACAGCTACTTAACTTCAAACTCGGCCTTCCTCTCACATGGCCTTCTCCCTGTATGTGTCTGTGTCGTCACATGGTGGTCTTCTTATAAGGCCACCAGTCATATTGGATTGGGGACCCACCCTACTTCAGTATGACCTCAACTGGTTCCATCTGCAGTGACCCTAGTTCCATTAATAAGGTTGCATTCCGAAGTACTGGGGGAGTTAGAACTTCAACATATCTTTTGGGGGGGGGGAGGCAAAACTCACCCCAGAACAGTGAATAAATATCCTGAGATACTGTTGTTAATGAGTCTGTTTACAGAGCCAAAAAGTGGTGAATCTTGGGAGTTCCCTGGTGGCCTAGTGGTTAGGATTCCGGGCTTTCACTGCTGCGGCCCAGGTTCAATCCCTGGTAAGGGAACTGGGTGATGCAGCCAAAGAATTAAAAAAAAAAAAAAAAAAAAAAAAAAGTGGTGAATCTTGCTTGAGTTTAATCTTTTGTTCTCAAGGCTGTCAGGGAATAGATGCAAATAAAACATATTTTTTAAGTTCTAACGCTCCCAATGAGATTGTTTTTAATAGACTATTAATGGAAATAGAATGATCTACTATTTATAGTTTACTTTTTTAAATACTAAAATTATAATTCAAATGATGATTTACTTTTCTTAACATGGGAAATTTGTTCATTTTAGGTAGGGTTGTATATCACCTTAGTTCCCGATAATGATTTAGGGCTGCTGCATCATAAAATGTATTTACAACTAAGTTATACTAGATCAAATCTAATTGATTAAATCAGAATTCTGTGCAACGTTAATTAAAGTATGCTGTAGATTAAGCAAAGTAATTACCTGAGCGACTGCATTTAATGGAATATTTTTATGAATCAGAATCCTGCATAATAAACCTGAAAACAGCTACACTGAATACCTAAAATATTTCACAAAACAAACTGCAATGAGAACTGCTAAGACATTTGAACAATGCACATGAAAATAAAGGCAACTTGAAGTTCTTCTAAAGCAGACTCTTAGTTCTTCATTTCCAATGTGCCACCAATCCCCCCACCATGTTTTTGCAGTTATGACTTATAGGACTACCTCCTCTTTCCCCAGTGGATGCCCTATGGGAGTTTCTGCCCTGGGCATCCATGCTTGTTCTAACAGCCCAGGCTTGGGGAGAGAAGCATATCAAATAACTCAAGATGTTATAGCGTATAAACTCTGGAGTACTATTCACCTTATAATTTATGAGTTCACCTAAGAGGATAGCTTCCCACAAAACACTGAAACAGTGTTCTAAGTTTTAAACTGACCCAAGAGTAAATGCTTCTCCAGTTGGCAAGAATTAAAAGGTAACAGGAACACCCAGCCCCTCCATGAAAATGAGCCAGCAATTCAGTGTACATGCTCTGGAGGAAATAATTTGAAACAACCAAATGACTGGTGTTAGGTTCAGTTACTGAATTTCTATTACAGCTATACTTCTGGCAGAAGTACAGATCCCTGCTATCCTAGGTAGAATTCTTCAGTAATTTAAAGATGTATTCAATATTGTAAGGGAGGCTATCTGATATCTGCTCAGCAGAAATTGTGTTGCTGGCTGTATTCAGATTCAACTGTCTATCTAAAGTAATATTGGTCTGAAATCTTGTGTAAGGTTTTCATTTGGTAGAGCAGCAGACACGAATAGACACTTTAATGGCTTTGTGCCAGGGTCAACAGAATTTCATAAAAGAATGAATATTTGAAGTAAGTGTCACTGTACCTGGCACCAACTATCATGGGAGATACCTGAGGATCCCAAAGAGGTAGCACTGAGCTAACCAGGAATGTCCAAGAATCAATCAATTTTTTGTGACAATAATAGTAACTCTGAATTACTGTTAATTAAAGAAATAATTCTGTACTGGGAACTTGAAATCAAATTAATTTTTTTTAGACTCATGAATACTAGCCTTTAGTTTTCCTTTAAAATGCTTGGGGGTCTGTTCCTTTTATCATCTTTAGCTAAGCTGCTTTTACATAGACGACTTTGAGTCACAGTCAACATTTCAACCACAGATCGTATAGCAATCTGCATATTTTTTTTAACCAATTAAGTATTCCAAGTATTTTTTAAGTATCACTACTAAAAGTGTTTCTCTTATGCCTAGATCCATTCCCCTTCTTTTAAGGGCAAAAGAGAACTCTAGATTCGCCTGTCTTAATCTCATTTCTCTGCCTCCCTCCAGGGTGAGTTCTTCCTTGGTAGACCAGTTCTTGTGTTCTTAAGCTTTTGTGATGGGGAATTGGGAAGAAAGGACAGGAAAGCAGAAGCGGAGCAGAAGCCTCCTTAGACAAATGGGGACTTTCCCAGGGACTTTGAAGGCAGGAGGTACAGGGCAGCTGCACTTTGTAGGATGATGGATAGAAGAGTAAAGAAGGAATTTTAAGAATCATTGCTGAAGATTATATATGGCTTTTGGGGTATTCAAAAAGACTTTGAGGGCTTCCCTGGTGGCACAGTGGTTGGGAGCCCGCCTGCCAATGCAGGGGACACGGGTTCGTGCCCCGGTCCGGGAAGATCCCACATGCCGCGGAGCGGCTGGGCCCGTGAGCCATGGCTGCTGAGCCTGCGCGTCCGGAGCCTGTGCTCCGCAACGGGAGAGGCCACAGCAGTGAGAGGCCCGCGTACCGCCAAAAAAAAAAAAAAAAAAGATTTTGAAATTACTGGGCCATATTCATTTGAATATATGAATATACATTATTTGAGAATGAAACATTTGGATCCTAGTTTTATAAACATTAAACCGTACTGGCTGTTTATTATAATTTTTGTGTGGCTAGCACCTTAGAATGCCCTTGCCACGTCCAGGGAATATGAAGTCTTAAGAATCCTGTCTTCCCAAGATGGAGCCCAGAAATAAGCCCGATATCATTTACAGAATACAAGCATGTGACTTAGGCTGCCCTAATAATAATTCAGTTACATAAGATAAGCTCTCGAGATCTGTTTACCACATCATGGCTACAGTTAACAATACTGGATTATACACTTAAAAATGTGTTCAGGGTAGATCTCATATGTTCATAACAATATTTTTTTAAAAATCCATATAGGAAATTTTTTTAAAATAAAAAGCAGAAGTGAGCAACTTGCGGAAGGAGGTACTACACAGAATCCATACGGTGGCAAAAACAGCAGCCAACCAGACGAAACTAAGATACACTCACCCCTATGTTCATAGCAGCACTATTCACAAGAGCCAAGACACGGAAACAGCCTAAGTGTCCATCGACAGAGGAATGGATAAAGAAGATGTGGTATATATATATGCAATGGAATATTACTCAGCTGTAAAAAAGAATGAGATAATGCCATTTGCAGCAACATGGATGGACCTAGAGATTGTCATACCGAGTGAAGTAAGTCAGACAAAGACGAATATCATATGATATCACTCATATGTGGAATCTAAAATGTAACACAAATGAACTTATCTATGAATCAGAAACACACTCACAGACATAGAAAACAGACTTGTGGTTGCCATGGGGGAGGGAGGGTGGGGGAGGGATGGATTGGGAGTTTGGGCTTAGCAGGTGCAAACTATTATATATACAATGGATAAAAAACAAGGTCCTACTTACAGCCCAGGGAACTATATTCAATATCCTGTAATAAACCATAATGGAAAAGAATACGAAAAAGAGCATATATATATATAGGGACTTCCCTGGTGGCACAGTGGTTAAGAATCCGCCTGCCAATGCAGGGGACATGAGTTTGAGCCCCGGTCTTGGAAGATCCACGTGCCGCGGAGCCACTAAGCCCATGGGCCACAACTACTGAGCCTGCTCTCCAGAGCCCACGTGTCACAATTACTGAAGCCTGCTCACCTAGAGCCCGTACTCCACAATAAAGAGAAGCCACTGCAACGAAGAGTAGCCCCTGCTCGCCGCAACTAAAGAAGGCGCACACACAGCCACAAAGACCCAATGCCACCAAAATAAATAAATAAATAAACTTATGTTTAAAAAGTTTAGGTGGAAAATGTGTGGGATTATTAAAATTTTAAAAAAGAACATGTATATATAACTGAATCACTCTGCTGTACAGCAGAAATTAACACATTGTAAGTCAATTATACTTCAATAAATTAAAAAAAAAAAGGAGCCAAACTCATGCTGCAGAAACAGCAGTGAGGGGCAGGGGTAACAGCAGTGAAGGCTGTGGTTAAGCTCTGCAGGCCTGTTCTGCAGCCTGTAGTTGGACGTCATCTCCAGCCTCTTAGCTTCGAGCTGGTTCTCCTGTAAATATTTACATAATAAACTCCTTTCCTATTTAATCAGCCAGCACCAATTTCTGATGCCACACAAAATGTTTTGTGAAAACTCTTTTTGGGGTTACCTATGAGAAGAATGGCTCCGTTTTCCGAAGTTACTCTGCTTTTATATTTAGCCCAGGCATTATTTGCCACATAATGTTACTTGTAGATTTTGATCAGTGGATTTTAGTTCAAAGTTAGACTGTGTTTCCAAAATATTAATGAAAATGCCACGAGTAAACCATGGAATAAGTTGTCTTCAAAATTCCCAATGTAATGGCTCTCATAAAGAGAGGGTCCAATGAGACAAGATGTTTGGCTTTATATTTAGAAAAGAGTAAAGATTCTGATTAGCAGTCCAGGGTCTCTAAGTCATACTCCAGAGGAGTCCTCCTTTAATTTTTACCTGTACGATAGGGATAACAAGACCAGTATCACAGGTATATTGTGAAGGACCTGAGCCGCACATCATTCATACCAAGAAACATTCTCTAAATTTTACAAATATGTAAGAATATAAGCTAGGAGATGCAGGTAAATTTTTACTAGGCCAAGGGGCAAAGGAGAGGGGAGGGGTGGTGGATACTAATCTAATCAAATCTTGCAGAGATCTTCTTTGATTATGGGTAAATCATCATTAGAATTCCACCGTGATCTACTTTTATCACAATCAAGATACTGGACACCTTGTTTAACGAAAGGAAATTCTTTTTTTCTATAGCACACTGTTGACAAAATAAGTCAACTTAGAAGAAAAATATTCCAGTAACTATCTCATCTAAAAGGAGGAGGAAATTATTTAAGTATAGGCTTTGATGGGAAGAAATCTCCCTATTTGGTACTCCTGGGGTAATAAAGATTTTATTCTTGAAAGCCTAAACTAACAAGACTAAAATAGTTACTGGATACATTTACCATTCTGCATATATGACAAATAAGCAATGTGCCAGAGCAAATCCATGTCCAAAGGAATTGGTGTGTTTAACCCAAAGGTTTATTGAGCAACTACTCTGTGCCTCCTGACAAGGTGATTCACAAGCAAAATCATAAAGAAGGTACAAAGTTGTCATCAATGCCTTCTCTCTTGGCAACTTCTCTGTCTCCTCTGGATACCCAGCTCCCTCTGCTGCCTCCCACTGCTCAGGAAATCCCACTATCACCATCACTATCCCCAGCTGAAGCACCCATCTCTGGCCTGCCTTTCCAGTTAGGTCTCAACCTCTAGATTTCTCTCCACTCCTTTTCCTAACAAGACTGACCTCTCTGGTGTGTCCTGGAAGGAAGTGCTCTTATCTGTCTTTCGGACGGTTATTAGCTCCAGCTACCATGACAAAATACCACAGACTGGGGCTTCCCTGGTGGCACAGTGGTTGAGAGCCTGCCTGCCGATGTAAGGGACACGGGTTCGTGCCCCGGTCCAGGAAGATCCCACATACCATGAAGCAGCTGGGCCCATGAGCCATGGCCACTGAGCCTGCACGTCCGGAGCCTGTGCTCCGCAACGGGAGAGGCCACAATAGTGAGAGGCCCGCGTACCACCAAAACAAAAACAAAAACAAAACCACAGACTGGGTGACTTAAAATTCATTTTCTCACAGATCTGGAGGCTGGAAACCCAAGATCAAGGTTCCTGGCTTGCGAACAGCTACCTTGCCTTTCTTTGGTGCATGGTATGGCGTGGGGGAG